CGACGTATAGACGTTGTAGAAACGACGTATAGACGTTGTAGAGACGACGTATAGACGTTGTAGAGACGACTAAGAGACGTTGTAGAAACGACGTAGAGACGTTATAGAGACGACGTAGAGACGACTTATAGACGTTGTCGAGTCGACGTAGAGACGTTGAGGCGATCGAGTGGGAGGACGATGTAACCAGCTGCGTTGGAGGGTTGCTCTGGCCTACTGCCAATTCGATATGCTAAAAAAGGTCTCAGGCCTTTTCTTCGTAAGGCCCTCGTCCTGCCGCCGTGACCTTGAGGCGTCACTGCGACGGCCTTCACATCGGCAGCCCTGTCCTCGCACCGCTTTGCTCTGTCTCCCCTACCCCCGCAGCCTGGTCGCGACTCGTTGAGGTCCCGGCTCTGCTGCCATTTGTCGGCCTTGCCCAGTCAGCCCCGATCGGGTTGAGGCTAGCCGACGCCTTAGCTCCATCGCACGTCCCCCCCCGGTTGAGCCGAGTCGGCTGGTGGCCCCGACTGCCTCCACTTGAGCCAAAGCGGCTCAGTCCCGAACCGGTGTGCGTCACCTGACGCCTCGCCGGGCCCCGTCCTCAAGCCAGCCTGTCCGCTTGTCTCGCCTGGGCCGCACACACCCACCGACCGACCGAGGAGGGACAGACGTTGTGACAGCAACGCCTACGCCGTCGCTTCGGCCCTCGTCAAAGCAGGACGACCAGCCGACACACGGGACGACTGTCGCCATGCCGTCAAGCCGAGCGTCGCACTGTTTGGTGTGCGCCTCTCGTACCACTCGGCCCGAAGCCCGAAGCCCGAAGCCCGAAGCCGGAAACCCAAAGCCCGGAGCTCGCGGCTCGACGTCGGCAGCTCACAGCTCGAGCGTCAGGCTGCGCGTCGGTTGCCGGTTAGTCATCGAACTGTCGTCACTGCTGCACGCAACGGCACCCGCATTGTCGGGTTGTCCTCGTAAGCCCAATTCCGCCTCGTCCCTCTTCCGAGCCGGTCTCGCCTCCTTGCGTCGCTGCACCCACGAGTGTCGCCCAGTTGGCCAATCCCGATCGCCCGCCTCAGCCGATGACTCGTCCGACCCGCCCACATCCCGATAGCCATGAGCACGAACACACACATACACATGCATACACACAGACATGCAGCCTATGAACGATGCGAAAGCGGTGGGCACACTTTTTTGAACAATGCAGCCAACGTCTGTGTGTGCCCACGGGTTGAGCTGATCGTGGAAGGAGCAGCCCACTGTCAACCGGGTTTCGCGCATACCCAGCCTCACGCGCACACACGAACAGGCACCGTCCCCTCACACTCACACACACACACACACACACACACACACACAACATACACTCCTGTCTGGCAAAGTAAGCCAAGTGTGAGTGGAGCCTGTTTGCAATATCAACTTTTGTCTTGTCCTGTCGCCTGTGTCAGTGTCAGAGGCAAGCAAAGACAGGTTGTACCTATTTGTGTTTTTGTGTGTGTGTGTGTG